AACCTTCCTAATGTTGTGACCCTTTAATACAGTTCCTCACACTGTGTGGACCCCCAACTATAAAATGGTTTTTATTGTTACTTCTTAGCTGTAATTTTGATACTGTTATGAGTTGTAATATAAATATCCATGTTTTTCAAAAGTCTTAGGTGACCCCCTGTGAAAGGGGGATGCAACCCACAGGTTGAGAACTGCCAATCTACAGAGACACAGTGTAACGCCTCTGCCAGGAGTGTGTACTGTTTTCTGCTAATATTCCGTTGCTTTTAAGATGCTTAAATACCAAAGGAGCAGTGTATCAACTGATTGTAAGAAATGTCCCCTGCATACTCATCCATTATTTTCACTTTTTTGTTACATCCCAGCTAAGCTTTTTGAACATGTTGCCATAAAATTATGATTAAATATTAGTGTTCAGCAAAACAGGACTCAAATGTCCTGGCAGATGGCTTATGGTTTCAAGTTGTATTTGATCAATAAGATATTAATCTGGGAAAAATTGGATCAAATCCCATAGCTTGTTACTATTTTATCTACATTTGAACCATGATCTAGTCATGATACTATTTGCATTTTAATGGTGATTGTCCAGGGTCCAGATAGTCATTGTCAGAGTGTCAGTGGCCAATTCATTCATGGTCTATGCATCCCCTGGATGGTATATGATCAAAAGTTCCAGAAATAACCAAGATTTGCAAGAAAGTTATTTCCAAACACATTCCTGTCAGAACTCAGGGTAAACTTTGGATTTCTCTTCCTGTTGGAAAAATACTTCTGTGGGCTCCTGGGTGTACTCTCTGCCTCTTTCTTAGTCAGAATCTACCTCGGAGTAAGAAAGCAAGTGTGTCTGTCAGAGTGCAGCTTATGGGCTAGCACTCAATGAAGACCTCAATACTTTGAGTTTTTGTTATGATGTCGTGGATCCCCAAGGCCATACTTTTGCTTATGCTCTCCGTGAACTACAGGGTACCCTGATCTCCACTTGTCTTTCAAAGCTTAAGTCAAATCCCATTATTAGACCTCAGTAGGTCCAGACAAAAGCACTCTGATTTATCCTTCATCATGATCCTTAATATTTTACATTTTAGCTCCACCCCCCCGCAGTAGCTCCAAATAATTGCAGCTGAATTTTGACTAACAATTTGTTAAAACATAAATGATCAAATATTAAAAAACAAATAAAAATCAATCCTCTGATTAGACAAAATGGATGGTGTCTAAATAGTGCAGGCTGTGCTCTGGAGGCTTGGGATGCAGGTAGATTGACAGTCTCACAGAAAATATTCTGCCATCCAATGATGGCTAATGTGAGGTTATCTGCAACCCCTGGAATCTATGTAAAGACGGAAGGGAAAAACCCGATATGTAAACTTCTAACCTCTGCATGTAAGCAGTGGCATGCACCTACCCACAATAATATATACATGATGATAGTAAGAAAATCTAGAAAACTGTAATAAATTCAATTCAATTCATTTTCTTTTCTCTTTATTTCAGGAGCTCACTTAAAGTGTGTCTCTCTAGGCAACCTTTTGAACCAAACTTGCTTTACTTTTTGTGCTTTATTTTATTTTTATTTTTGTGCATAGATTTTGTCTGTTGTGTGTGTGTGTGTGTGTGTGTGTGTGTGTGTGTGTGTGCCCACCTTTAGAGGCTAAAAAATGGCATTGGAGTTACTGGAGCTGGAGTTTGGGTAGTTATGAGCTTCCCAGTGTGGGTGCTGGAAACTGAACTCTCCAATGCAGTATTAAGAGTGATGAGTGTTCCTAACCACTGAGCAGTCTCTCCACCCTCCAGGCTTGCGTTATTGACCACTGAGCACGTAGTCTCTCCAGCACCTAAGTGTGCTTGATTGCTGTGTCTGTCTCACAGCAATCCTTGTGCATTTTCCTGTGAATATCACTTTCTAATCACAATATTAGCTATGGTCACTCAGGTGGAGGAAATAAGGGTCTGATTGATCATAACTTGACATGACTGGGACACATACTATGGAGCTAAATAGTCAAGGTTATGGCAGATTTGGCAGAGTTAGGCCATCTAATACTAGGGGGGCTAATAAACCCTAACAACACTTAGTGGCTACCATGACGTGAAATAGTCAAGCCATGTCTAAGAGCCCAAAACAATAGATAACTGTCTTACAAACATGGTCCCAGACTTGTGCAGGGCTTAGACGAGAAAGAATGTTCTACAGTTGCAGATTAGAAATAAATAAGAGCTTGTTGGCAGGAAGAATTGTTATTAAGGAACCAGAGCAGGTGCTGTGTATTCTTATTTCCTGGAGATTTCAAACTGAGGCAGACAACTGTCATTGAATAACTAGCTTAGTGTTATTGTCTGGATAAACACAAGGTTGCTTCTTTCGGTCTTGGAATGCTGAAATTCTTGAATTTCTGCAGGTTCTCCCCCTCCCTCCCACCACCTCCTCCTCCTCCACCTCCTCCTCCTCCTCCTCCTCCTCCTCCTCCTCCTCCTTCTCCTCCTCCACCTCCTTTTCTTCCACCTCCTTCTCCTCCATTTCCTTCTCTTTCTCCTTGGAGACAAGGACTCTCTGCGTGATTCCAGTCTTGCCTGGAATAAATTTTGGAAAACTCAAATTATTTTTTACTTTAAATGGAATTTGTTGGAAATCAAGTACATTTACCCGTCTTTGAACTGCATATCTCTTTTCAATGTTTTCCTTTTTATAAGGTCATTTTCTAAGTACAAAAGTTATATAAATTTGTTGTAGAAAGTTTGAAAACTACAAAAATGCAAAATTTATATCAGCCATAAATCTCTTCCTGAAAATCTGTTGCTTTTGTTCTTGATGAATGTCCCTGTCTTTATTACTACCTATATAAATGTTCCCAAATTTGTGCATAGTATATGGAGTACTTTTTATCATATTTTAAGAAATACTTCAAATGTCTGATTTAAATGATTACATCATTTTCTACTGTATAATTATACAAGTTTGTTTAATCATTTTGTTTCTTAGCATTTAGGCTGTTTTCAAAGTCATATTAATATAAAATTACTATTAGCCTCTTAACAAATAAATAAATCTTGGACCTTGCCTTAGGATAGCTATTAGGCTATTGAAGATATGTGTCATAGAACAGAAATGAACCAATTCCTGCAGCTCTATGTGATTCAAACTAACTGTTAGGTCAAGAGGTTTGAAATTAATTTAAAAAGTCACTTTATTGAGATATAATGCACATACCATATAACTCACCCACCTACAATTTAATGGCCATTAGTACATTTGCACAGTTTTGTGGCTATCAACACACATTTTTAAGGCATTTCACCCCCTATGCCCTGCACTCATTAGCAAATTACTCCCACTTTCTCCCATTTTCCCTAGTATTTCATCCTATCATTGTCCTTCTGTCTGTATGGATTTGCATAGTTTTGAATAGCTCCTACAAAGAGAACCATACAACATGGGGTCCTTGGCAGCTAACTTCTTTTACTTACATAACATTTCAAGAGTCATCCTTGCTGTAGTGTATTAGTACTTTATTTCTTTCTAAGGCTGATCATATTTCATTATATTGATATAGGACATTTATTTACTCATTCATCAGTTAGTGAACATTTAGATTATTCCCTTTTTATTATTATGAATTATGCTAGAATAAACATACAGGTTTTTTCAAAGGTGATTTTATTCCTCTTAGATATATTCCTGGAATTGGAATTGTTAGGCTTTATGCTAAAATTCTGTTTAGTAGTTTGAGAAACTACTGTAGGGTTGTTTTTGCAAAACAGCCATACCATTTTACATGCTCACTGGCACTGTATGATGACACTGCCTCCTCATCCTTACCAATACTCCCTGTCGGCTCCATTGCAGATACCCCAGTGGTTAGGCAGTAGCACTTCAGAGTGGTTTTGTCTGACCCAGATGGTTGATGGTGCTGAGCATCTCATGTGCTTATTGTGGAAATACTTATTTTTTAGGCTTTGATAAGTTTCATCTGTACTGTCTTCAGAAAATTGCATTAATCAGCCTAGGCTCTTCTTGAACTCCCTGTGCAGCTGAAGATGACTTTGAACTCCAGTTCTTCCTGCCTCCACCTCCCACATGGTGGGGTTACAGGCATACACCACCATGCTCAGCTTATGCTCTTGATTTCTATTTTCATTTTATTTCCATTCCTTTTGATTTGTTCCATATATAACCAACCATTGGTCAGCAAACAAGCCTGCCATGGTACACACGGACCTATGCAAACCCTGGAATATGTGGATTAGCTACTAGGTACAGCAAAAAGTCTGCCAAGAAATTTGAATTAAGTGGACATGGGCTATTTTCTTTTATGCTTGCTGTTTTATTTTAGTGAAAGCATATTCTAGATGAATTTCTGCTATAGATGAAGATGATTATTTAAAGAAAGCTCTGCTTTCAAGTTAGGTCAAATAGTTCAGCCACTCTCCACAAAACACTTGGAAGTCACATCTTTCTGTTTAGGTCATTAAGCATCTCTCATGGCATTTCGGAAGGAGGATCCGGTTCTGTGGGCATCAGAAGACGTGTCCTTTAATCTGAGTCAGAATTGGACAGCCTCAAGTCTGGAATTTTTTTTTTTAACAACTTTTAATATGGAAGAATGTTCTAGTATTTTCTAAGTGACACATGATCTTGAATGTCACTGATGAAACTTACCAGAGGAATTAATGCCCTATATCTATTGTGCTTTTTAATATGCTACTAAACTTACTGAGAAAACACGCTTCTACAAGCAACAAAGCCTCTTGCTTTTGAAGGCAGATAGAGACCTCTGGGCCAATGTCATAGCCACATTTAGAGCATGTCTTTCTGAAGACCTCTGGAATATAAATTTGTTTGTTAACAACAATTTTTTTTTTCTATTTCAAAAAGCTTTATTTGTTTCTTGGCCCAAGACCTGAGAGGGGCTCCAGGGCGATTACACAGCTGCCTAGTGGCTTGAGAGGTTCCGGTGAAGGTCCTGAGGCTGGCTGGTGCAAAGCAGAGGGAGCCCCTTGGAAGGCGAGGCCTCCTAATCATGCTTGAGAGTGAGCCTCTCAAAGAGATACTCGCCCAGAGATGGCTGGGGCACGCCAGTCTGCGTTGGCTGGGGGCCAGCCACCCTACGGATGTCGGTCAGGTGGTTGCCCATCTTCTTGATGAGCTTCACCTCCTCATCCAGGAAGTGGCTTTCCAGGAAATCCCAAAGATGAGGATCTGCGCGACCTGAAGCCAGGGAATGAAGATCCAAGAGGGCCTGGCTCAGGTTCTTCTCCAGGGCCAAGGCAGCTTCCATGGCCTCCTGGGTTTTACCCCACTCATCTTGAGATGGCTTCTGCACATCCTGGAAGAGAGCACGGCCGCCGTGGTCGTTCTGGAATTTGAGGAGACGCTCGGCACCCTCGCCCTTCTCCTCGGCCAGTTTGCGGAAAAAGTGGCCTACACCCTCCAGAGCCACGTCATCCCGATCAAAGTAGTAGCCCAGAGAGAGGTAGGTGTAGGAGGCCCGCAGGTGCAGGTTGACCAGTCGGTTCACGGCAGCTTCTACTTGGGTGGAGTAGTTCTGACGAACCTGGGAGGTCATGGCTGATCCGCTGTGGGGAGCTAACCACAAAGAGATGGGGCTGGCTGGTCCTAGGAGCCCTAGGGCGGCGAGTAGCTGGTCCAAAAGGTTGAGGCTGGAGAGACTGAGAAGCGGAGGGCAGCTAACAGAGAGGAGTCCCCGGGTCTGTTCCAGCCAAACACTATTGAAGCAAGACACAGATCCACGGGACCTCCGAAGCTGCTCCGTTAACAATAAATTTTAAACTTTATTATTTTATGTGTATGGACATTTTTCCTGCACACCACATGCATACTTTGTGCCTGTGGAAGCCGGCAGAGTGGATCAGACCTCCTGGAACTGAAGTTACAAGTTACAAACAAATGTCAACTATCATGTGGGTGCTGGCAATTGAACCCAGATCCTCTGGAAGAGCAGTCAGTGCTCTTAACCACTGCGCCATTCTCCTGTCCCCCTGGAGCATCCACTGTTGCTAGGACAACTCTCTGTTCCCGGATAACCTATGAAGCCCAGGCCCCTCAACACACAAACACAACACTGCACATTGTCTTTGCCAAGAACTGAATGCAAATTGTAAGCATCTCAACAGCATGCAGTCTTCCTTGGTATTTTTCTTCTTAAGTGAGAAAATAATGGAAAGATTTATAAAGTATCTCTTCTGTGATAGGTGCTTTGCACACATGACCCGATTTGTGTTCATTACCACCTGACATGATGAATGGGAAGGCTGAATGTGATTGGGTTTGAGTGTACAGAGGGTTACCTCACCTGTATTGCAGAGCCAGGACAAGTGTCACCAGCCTGTCTTGTTATGGGACAAGGGGACACATTGCATTTTCATTCATTTCTTGTTGCCTCACCTTCAGGGACTTGGAAACACAGAGATTTCCCTGCACCTGATACATATGTGTAAGTAGGTAACTAAAACAGGAAAGTGTATATATTTAATAACTAGGAGATGGAGAGTACATGGCTAAGGAAAATATCATTTATAAATGGTTTTGGTGTCATTTAAGCCTTTCACAAATACTTGTGACTGAGTCTTATCTTTGTGTGTGCAAGGAAAATGGGAAAGTTTGGGATGGGAGAGATGTCTCAGTCAATGAAGGGACCAGCTGAGCAAGCATGAGGGCCTGAGATGGGATTCCCAGCCCTCACATACCAGATGGCACTGGAGAGGGGAGGGTGTCTAGTCTAACTGATGCACTCTGGGTTCAGCGAGACACCCTCTCAAAAAAATAAGGTGGAGAACTAGCAACAAAGAACCCAAATGCTGACTGTCCCCCACATGCATCCATGTACCTGCACACATCCACAAAATAGTTCCATAACACACACACACACACACACACACACACACACACACACACACACACACACACCCCAGACTGCAGTTGGGAGTTTTTAGGATATAATGACTTCATGCATATATAACCACGAGGTAGAGGTAGGTAACTTATTATCATTTTGTTCCATTTCTTGTTTTCAATGACAAAACATTTTAACATACTTTCCCTAGTAACCTACCTATAGCTTTCTTTGTAAAAATAAAAAAAGTTATACTAAAAAATCAGAATCTGCATAGTGCTCTGTTGTAGCTGACAGTAGAAGTGTTTCATGTAAACCTCCCTGCAGCCAATTAGGGACCCCCCCCATGTTTAGCTAAATTATGGAGTGCACTATTTAAATGAAGCAACATTGTATTTCTTATTGGAGAATTTAAAATGGAAAAGGAGCTAAATTTCTGACATAGTTATATTTTCTGTTTCTAACAATCTATCCATTTAAAATGCATACTTGGATATTTTTCCTTTTCTTCTTTTTGGTACTTGAGATAGGGATGAAGCCATTGCTTTTTTATCATTTTCAATTATTTCTTTTTATGTCTCCCTGATCTGCCTCGGGTAATATCCTGGCTAGATATGATTGTAGGCTACTTTACAGGCAATTCTGATCTGCTTGTCCATCAACAAAGGAGCATTTTTCTCTCCTCAAATGAGGCACACTCCATTAAGAAAAGTGTGGAATGGAAGCACCCCATGCTACCGAAGCAGGCGGCGAGGTCCCCCACGGGAGGCCCACGCTGGAGTGGGAGCGTGCTAAGAGAGGGCGGAAGTAATGAACAGCTTTGAAAAATGAGGTTATGTAAGTTAGAGCTGCCCAGAGACGCTTTGAAGGTCTATTACACACAGTTCTTGAAAGGGGGCTTACATAAAACTGGAAGGCGGTAATGAAATTCTCCCACTGGAGGAGTTTGAAATGATGCCCTATGAGAAAGAACTTACACCATCAGTTGGCTGGACCTTGACTTCATTCATCTGTAGGGCGTATGTGGTGTTTTGGAAGGACGTTGTCTAGTGAATACAGGAAGTAACTGTGGGAACTCAGTATCTTCTTGCTTTGGGTGTTGCCCAGTGCAGCATCCTGCAAGATGTAGCTCCAAGTCAGTGCTTTATTACTTGAGTTAATTTGGTTTTCAGGGAGTCTCTTCCTCCTCCTTCCTCTTCCTCTTGTTCCTCTTTATCCAACTCCTATTATCACCATCATCATGTTTGCAAGGCTTTTTATACTGACTTGGACTTTGTCATTATTTTTCAGGGATCCTGGTAGTTCAGTGTCACAAACGTTTGCTTGAGGTATTCTGTTTCACTTTCTGTTTCTAAACCAGAATGAGGGACCCAGATAAAACCCTCAGTTATTTTCCATAATCTCACGGGCAGTCAGCCACAGTCCTCAGATGATCCTGCAAGTGTGCATTGCTTCTTCTCAGAAGTTGATTCTAAATTTATGCAAACTTAGCAAAGCTGGGGGGATGACTTGGTGCATAAAGTGCTTACACATCGCTAGCATGAGGACCTGAGCTTGGATCCCAGTAATCAGGTAAAAACGTGGCATAGCCAATGAATCTAGTCCCAGGACTTGGGGGAGGCATGGAGACAAGCAGATTCTGGGCCTCACTGGCTCACTTTCACAAAAAGTAAGGTGGAGAGTAAAGAGGAAGATATTTGCTGTAGACTTCTGGCCTCCATATAAGCATGGATGAATGAATCTACACATACATGCTCTCTCTCTCTCTCTCTCTCTCTCTCTCTCTCTCTCTCTCTCTCTCTCTCGACTTAGAATTTGTCATGATGCCACCCGAACTTTCTAGAACACATGGTGGGAGTCTAGTGCTTTTTCTTGGCCAACATTTCTTCTCTAGCTCTAGAATGCCCACGGCATTGAGCTTTGGTCCTGGTGCTGGTGGCGCATTGCCATACAGGCTTCCACAGTTTGGATCTTTGAAGAACCATCTGTCTGAAAACAACAAATGACAAACTCTGGGTCTACAACACAGATTTCTTGAGTAAAACACAAATGCTTCTTACTTTCCTATTGTCTTGTCTTCAAACTGTTGCTGAGGGCAGATGACAGACAGATCACTGGGTTAAGGAAGGGTTATTCTTCCTGGCCATGCACAGAGGAGTAAGTCATCCTGCTTGAAGCTCCTTCTGCACCAAGACTAGCATATAAAACACTCTTCTATTTGTACTAGAAATTGAAGGTCATACCCTTCCCCCGGAAGAAGATTATTCTTAGAAAAAAGATCTTTGGAAAAGTACTCTATGACCTTCATGCCTCAGTGTTTATAAGTGTTTATACAGTGTTTATAAGAAAGTGGACCTGATGCGAAAAGCAGGGCGCTCATGCCATAGACAGACCAGTGGGGCAGTGATAGATGATGGCATGCCAGGTATACAGCTAGTTGCATGACTCTCTGAGAACACCTGGGTTCACATTTTGGGAAATTTTATGTATAACTTGATTCATTTCATCCTCAATATTCTTCTGAGGAAGGCAGCTTTCCCACAGTTTTCTTTCTTTCTTTCTTCCTTCATTTCTTTCTTTCTTCTTTCCTTCCTTCCTTCTTTCCTCCCCTCCCTCCCTCCCTCCCTCCCTTCCTTCCTTCTTTCCTTCCTTCCTTTTTGAGACAGTGTTTCTACCCCAACTGCTGGAGCATGTAGGGGCTGGGCCTGCAGAACCATAGCTGCAGGACCTCTATGACTGGGGCAACAGCAGGATATCCAAAAGGAGTTTCAGTCAGGGTACATTATTGATGGTGTACCAGAAGCCAGAGGCCTTGAACCTGACCAACAACACATTACACAATGAACAATTGCAAGTAAAGTTGTTTGGACAAAGGGTGTACTGCATGACACACAGCCGCTCCCAATGCCACTAAAACTAATGATGAGGCAATGGAGAGGGGCAGGAGGAGACTGAGGGGCAAAGTGGTTTTTTTGTTTGTTTGCTTGCTTGCTTTTGTTTCTGTTTGGATTTTTTTTTGTTTTTTGATTAATATCTTCATTTGTATTTTATCTTAATTTTCATTTTATAAATTTTATGTTTATTATTTCTTTTTAACCTTTTCTTTGTGTGTGTGTGGGGGGGATGAAGGGCAGATACAGAGGGACAGGGAAATGAGGGGGGTTGGGTGGATAATGTGAGATTCCCAAAGAATCAATAAAACATTATGTTTAAGAGAGAGAGAGAGAGAGAGAGAGAGAGAGAGAGAGAGAGAGAACTACAGAGTTGAGCAGGCTGTCTCTAGAAGGCAACATCACAAGGCCTTCCTGCTGACAATGCATGTGTGATGCCCCCTGCAGAGAGCTAGAGGACAGTGGTGAATCCACAAAGCCCAGCGGTGGTGGGAAACAAGGCCACAGGGCAGCCACATTCTATAGGTAGAAAATGCTGGCCGAGAAGCCTCCCCAGAAACAACAGGTCAACCAACATGAAAGCCCCAGTCGATTCCTGGTTTTGCCAAGGGATAAACTGACGGTCGACATACTGATAGGAGAAAGGGCATAAACATCTTACATGCATAAGAGCCTCATGTGGTCAAGAAGTGAACATGATGAAAAGCACTGAAGCCTAGAAGCTGAGCATCTTCCTTTCAGCATTTCGATCTGATTTCAGCATGACTGAGATTACCATAGAACATGACAAATGTACTTCTGTGACAGCTGGAGAGGAGAGATCCCCTTCCTTCTTCCTTCCTTCC